TCTTGTACTTGTGGTTTGATTTTATCAATCTCTTGCAGACCGGTTACTATACTTTGTCTGTTAAGAGAAATTCGAATATTATACACAAAATAAATGGAGCAACGAACAACGTTTAGAGAAAGCTAATGTTGTCGTCATACTCTGTTTTGTTTACTTACATTTTCTGATTCAAAACTTGGTGTCCTTGTGGTTGAAAATCAGCAACAATAATACCCACTTGTCGTACATTTTCAATAAATATTTCCAATTGCGTTTCGAGATTTTCTAATGCCGATGACGATGACATTGTAAACAATATATACAAATTATTTGGTTTTTAGTCAAAGAGATTTTGTTGCGTTTAGCCCAAATGAATTCAATAAATTGTTTGACACTTGGCATTTGGCATGAAGTTGTCGTTGCCAACTGTTCGAATGTTGCCAAATGTCACTGTAGTGTTTTCATTGTCTTTTCATAAACAAATCGAAACAATTTTTTCTTACCTCAACCAAAAATGAGTTCACCGGCAATCATTGATTTTCGACCAAGTCATATTTGCTTGGAATTGTAAGACATTCAATTGTCTTTTGATTCGATATTCAAATTGTGTACTAAATATTTCAAGTAATTAATACAAATGGTCATTATCATAATTGAATTCAAACAACGGGACTTTTTGCCAAGCTCATTTGAAAACAGCTTTCATTAACTGAAACCTTGCGATAATTGTGATGGATGGTCTTTTTTGTGAAACGATAATTTTATAAGTCAATTTGAACAAGTAGCAATTGATTATCGATTGAATTTGTTAGCATTCGAAATACAACAGAGATTACATAATATGAAGAACAGCTAAGATTTTCAGAAGCGATTTCTGCTACCCCGATATGTCATGAGGAAAATAATATTTCTTGTCGTGAAAAATGAAAATAAATTTAAATTTCAATTGGCGTTTGTTTTGGAATAACAAGATGAGACATAGGTCCCATGCAGAATCGGAAAAAATTGGCCCAAGGTGTGATTTTTTTACCTGAAACCCCGAAATTCGGACTCAGCGTGCCAAAATACCTTAGAATTGATATTTTTCTCATCCACTATTGTGTCTGGCCCCAGTGCCCTCCATTTGGGGTCAAATCCTACAAAGTCGATTTTTCACTTTTTCGGTCCGGAATTTTGCACCAAAATGTATGGCCAACTATAGCTAATTTTATGCGCACATTTCATTTTTGCCATTGGGCACTCCCTCCCATCATCCCCTTTGGGGTCTTCATACAAAATTTATGAAAATTTCAAAAAATACCCCCAAAATAAGGACCAAACCTTATCCAAACCCAAAATTAATTACATATTAGGATACCTTGTGAAAAATTACCTTCAGCCACCAAGCATTACGTTCTCTCTAAACCCCTTATCACTATTTTGCAAAATCAAAGTGTAAAATGACGATTCACACCGGGAAGAAACAACTTCAATGTGAATGGGCGAAATGCAATGAACACATTCATGTTCACACTGTTCAATTTCTCTGAGTATATACGGAGTTATTTGTAAATATTCTTCCGTATATGCGGTTTATATTCTCATACACAGCATATTCGTAACTTATTTTATTCGATATTTTCCCCTAGGCTTTGATACTTACATTTTTTCGAAAATGTCATCGACACCGTAATGTTTCTTGATATTAAATCACTTGAATGACTACTGTCCCCCGCCATAGAGATTTTAGCATACACGCACATGCACTTTATGGAAAATTGTCATTTTTCTTCCGAATAATGTCTAGAATATTTGTTCAAACAGTTGAAATAGAGTGATTTTTACGTTTAGACGGTCAAAATGATGCGTGTATTAGAAACAATTTATTTTGGAGATTTGTTTCTCGAATCTATGAAACGAGTAAAACACGTAATTGTTTTAATTACGTATGTTATTCCCATAATATTCGCAAGCTTGTATTTCGTTCCGATTCTCATTTGGGTATTGTATAGTGTGTGCACAATTATAAACAGAAATAAATATTTGCATTTTCTTTATATTTTAGCCATCACAACGGTACTATATACATGCAACTCCATTTCAGTTATTTTGGTTTTTGACTGTATCTATCACAGGTATTACAAAAAACAGAAGAAATTTATACAAATATTAATACAAATTTCATTTTATAGCATTTATTTTGATATTTGTGGAAGCGTATGGAAAAAAAATTAAAATGTACAAATATTATTATTGTGCCACCTGGTTTCTTTATGAATTTATCTGGTGTTTATCAATTTATGCGTATTTTGATTCCGTAATTAATCATTGGTCTACTGAACAGTGTACAAAAATGCTGCTACCAATGATTTTTAAAAAGTTTGGTGTTTTGGATCTTTTTCATTTTCTATTTGCTTCGATTGTTCTTTGTTTACATTGGACACACACTTCATTTATCCATATCTCGTTGTCTCTGGGCAAACTTGTCGTTGTAAGTAAATTTGAAGCAACATACTACACAATTTAAAGAAATTATTTTTTACTTGCAGAAAGAACCAAAAAGAACTCAATATGTACAACTTGTTTTTGTGATTTTGTCAATTTTAACAATTATACCGCCAATATTCTTCTTGTTGTCTCTCAATCATGAAAAATTGTATTATATACAATTATTTGTATTAGTACAAGAAAAATGTTCAGTTTTATTGTGCTCATCCACTCTTATGGGTTTGTGATTTTGACATTTTTCTAAAATACAAGTGTTTCAAACAGTATAAAACTAATATTCAATTTCAGTGTCCTTCAATATCTATTATAATTTGAAGGAAGATATGAATCCATTTGGTAGTATATTAAGCGGATATGGATTTTCAATTTTTTCCGAACTATTTCTATTGTGGTTCCTGTTTATTTTGGGAAAAAAAGACATAAATTATTCCCACTTAATCTGGTCTTGGATTTCTTACTTCGCTATAGGTGAAACATGAAAAATGTCTTATTTAATGATAAAGTAACTGAAACTGAACCATTTTATTTGCAAATTATATAGGTCGCCAAGCGTTCTTGGATATGGAAATTAATCCTCAGAAATATAAAGATTACTCCGAAAAAAAAATCATGAATTCTAATACAATACAGATGTCTGAGGTTGGAGAAGAAATATGATGGTGAATAATACTAATGGCTTTATCAAAATGTTTAACGTCGATATCTTTTATATATAGCCGCTGCAATCTTCATCTATGTGTGTTTGACTATCCCAAAAAAGTACAAATTTTGAGGGGATCAAGCGGTTCTCATCAGAGAGACTCAAATGTCAAATGTGAGTAATCGTCTGCGCCACCTCCAATTAGTTCGGGAAAACAAATTTAGTTCTTTTGCATTGATTCACCTTCTGACCAGTGCGATACGTATATCAGTCGAATGAAAAAAATGCATAAAGCGTATATGCAATTATGCATGCATCTGAGTATAGCCGCGCTATTGTTGATGTTTTTTCACCTTTTTTCGTTTCTATGCTACAGAACCAAATTTTGTTTACAAAACTAATTAGAGATAGCGCGGACGATTGAAACTCGCATAATAAGTTACCCACTTGGGATAGTCCGGTGTTTGTGTGTGTTTGTTAAAAATAGGATTTTACCACCAAAACTAAGAAATATTTGGATAAAATAAATACAAAGAAATAGAAGCAAAAAAAAAACAATGATATTTTATTTCTTGGAATTAAGGATTTCTTGAAAAACCACAAACAAAGAGTCTTACAGAAGTAAGACAAACTTTTCAAATTTCTTCAAACTTTCAGAATATTATTTTCTTGTGGAAAAAATAAGCTGTGCAAATGCTGCTCCTTCAGCCAATTAAAAACCCTAGTAAATCGAAAGAGGTAGAGGTGAAGTTTCACGTGGTGTTTTATATCTTGAGACTGAAATGGAAGTCTGTATATATTGGGGGTAAAAAAATAAACATAGCCGCCCAAAAAAGGGGGAAGGGGGGTCGGATGAAAAAATTAATGATGTCAATCTCTTTGGTACAATCATATATTCGATACCCAAAAGGAAATTGAGTAAAGTTTCCCCCCTTGCCCATGTATGTTGCCAACTGTTCGAATGTTGTCAAATGTCTTTGTAGTATATTCATTAACTATTCATAAACAAATCGAAACAAATCGCTTTTACTTAATCTAAAAATGAGTTCACCGGCAATCATTGATTTTCGACCAAGTCATATTTTTAAATTGTGAGACATTTCAATTGTCTTTGATTCGATATTCGAATTGTGTACTAAATATTTTGAGTAATTAATACAAGTGGTCATTATCATAATTGAATTCGAACAACGAGACTTTTTTCGACGACGAGCTTTCATCGACTGACACCTTGCGATAATTGTGATGGATGGTCTTTTTTGTGAAACGATAATTTTATAAGTAAATTTAAACAAGCAGCAATTCAATTTGTTGACATTCGAAATACACCAGAGAGATTACATAATATGAAGAACAGCTAAGATTTTCAGAAGCGGTTTCTGCTACCCCGATATGTCACGAGGAAAATAATATTTCTAGTCGTGAAAAATGAAAATAAATTTAAATTTCAATTTGGATCTGTTTTGGAATACCAATGAGACATAGGTTCTATGCAGAATCGAAAAAATTTAGCGTGTTTCCGTATCCACATATGCTTTCTTCTTCAACATCAATTAGTCATAGTTTATTTATTTGCGGTTATTCAGCATTCATTTCAACCTTATGTTGTCATATTTTATTTAAAAGTTCCAAATTCTGATTAAATAACTCCCTGTCTCATTTTTCTATTTAAATTTATTCAAAAAAAAAAATATGTATGTTCAAAAGTCTGGGAAATGAATATTTGAGTGAGATCCAATTGTATAAAATTAGAATGGTACATTTTTGGAAATGTTATTAATTCACTAGACTACCATGTTGATCGGACTGAACGTCATGGATTTCAGCTCTTAGTGCTCAGTCACCAGCCTTTCACTCATTTAAATTTAATTGTTTTTCGAAAAGTACTTGGTTTTCTCCTTTGGAGTTGGAACAATCTGAAAAGTTAATCGTCAATATTGAGTGTTATGGCTCAAAATACATGCTAAAAATCATTACCGTATCGGCGCCCGGACGCCAACCTGCCGGACATACTTCACCATGTGAATCTGTGTATTGGAATGCTTGAATTAGACGTAAGGTCTCATCAACGTCTCGGCCCACCGGTAAGTCGTTCATCGTTATTTGTCTGAGAATGCCATTATGATCAATGATGAACAAACCACGAAGTGAATGACCCAAGTCATCAAGATAAACACCGTAATCTTTCGCAATTTTGTGAGATAGATCACTCAATAGTGGAATTTTGACTTTACCGAGACCACCCTATCGATTAAAATTCAGACAAAATTAAATACGTTCAAAAAACTAAAATTCAAAGTTTTTTTTCAACTAACTTCCTTGCGAGGTGTGTTTATCCATGCTAAATGGGTGAAGTGAGAATCAACGCTGCACGCAATTACTTCGGTGTTGATTTTTTTGAACTCATCAATACGATCGGAGAATGCCAAAATTTCCGTTGGACAAACAAACGTACTGATATGGTAGAAAAACATTTAATTGCTTTTAATTGGAGTTATAAAAACGTCACTACTCACAAATCAAGTGGATAGAAGAAAAACACAACGTATTTGCCGATGTAATCAGTTAGTGAGAGTTGTGTAAATTCACCATTTATGACCGCTGTTCCTTCGAAGAGCGGAGCTGGCTTTGAGACTACAATTTGAAGAAAAAATCATTAGAATCACTTTTTTGTAATAAAAACAAGTAACTTGTTGGTAACTTTGTTTAGAACTGAAATCTAGTTAGATTATTCCATTTCGATGAAACTGACATTTAGTAACAAACGACCAATTTGTAAATCGTATCAACTTTGATTTGCAAACGAACTACTTTCACCATTCAATTTAGCCCCAAATCAGTAGCCTGCGGTTCAAAGTTGGCTCACAAGATATTTATCACAATTTTCTACACGCATTTTTTTCACTTACTAACTGCTTTTGTGTATTGTAATTGATGACTGTCCGATTTCGATCCAGCTGGATAGACACTCGGTCCATATGAATGACATGTTTCTTCCTCATTAAGTGAACAGACTTTATTTGCAGGCAGCATACAAACCGCAATTAATACAATGATTTGCAACAGTTCCTCCATCATGTTTTTATAGCGCTGTGGAAAAAACAAACGAAACAAGTCGATTTTATGAAGAAAATGAATTGAAATAGGTTCTGATTTTTTTCGTCCCAAATCGAAATAGTTTTCAATAGTAAAATGCTTACATCACATCAAAGATAGGCAGGTTCAACTTATCCACGTTGCTTGTTTTCTATTCCGGCTCTATCACACGGAATGAACTAAAAAGAATAAAAACATGTTTGACATAACCAAATCACAGCTTTTGTGTATACAGATATCAACAACATAACTTTTACACATCAATGAATACAACGCTATATTTTAATTAAAACCATTTTCTCATTTTCAAGTGCATACGTTGAAACGTACCTATTTATTTTTAAGACGACGTTTTCCAAGCTCTCTGATCAAAGCAGCTGAAAATCCTTTGTTGTTTTATAAATAAAAACTAAAAAATATTGAGATTTATTCACGTCAAAATCAACGACTTTAATAAACATATGCCGGTGTATGTGTACAACAGTAATGGTAACACTGTATACAAAACATCTATAACAGCGCTTTGTTTTTGATAATTGTATGAAACGGTTTTCAATTCGTGAGATATTTTTAAATTCATTTCAGCTCGCGATTAAATGTGAATTCTTTTTCATTTTTAAAATTCGAAAAAAAGACACAGATTTTTGTATTTTTACCTTTAAATTGATAAACAAGGAACATTCAATTTGAAAATTTCCATTTGTTTTTCTGGCAACACTGTATATAAATTGACAGCAATCTATTGCATGTTGCATGCATACCGTGACATTTACCCGGTTCAAGCCATAAACTTGCCAGTGTTTTGCTCCGTTGTGTTTTCGCTAAGACATCACAATTACTTATTTTTCCACCATTATTGTGTATATTATTGAATTCATCATGAGATTGGAGATTACGGGAATTATGAAATTTGGATTGCTTGCATCCACACTGCTGGTGTCAACGGATTTACTGATTGGTTGGTATTTACGACAAAAAAACCGATCGCCACGATTGAATGAGGTTTTTTTTGTGATGAGCAATGCACTATCATGCTGTCCTCATACGGCCAAAGAAGATGCTATCAAAAAATGTCCAAATCCACACTGCAAGGCCAAATTGTCGCGTAAGATCATCGAACACATTGATTCGGCTAAACATTTAATATGTATCGCGATGTAAGTTAAACGAATCAAATTTTAATGTTTAAATGTTGAATATTCATTGGATTCCTTTTTATAAAGGTACATGTTCACAATGATACACATCTCAGACGCTGTTATGAATGCAAAGCGACGTGGTGTTAACATTCGAATAATCAGCGATAGTTCAATGATTGCCTCGTCTAACTCACAAATCAATCGCTTTCAAAAATCAGGTATTAATTGATTTCATGTTGAAAATTGGTGTCAAATTATTCGAATTGTTTGCATATTTTGTAGGAATAAACGTGCGAATTGCTGGCGATGGGGATTTGTATATGCACAACAAATTCTGCTTGATTGACGTTCTGAGCGGTGAGAAGTCTAAAGAGAACACACATCCACTGAACGGAGTACTTATCAATGGCTCAATGAATTGGACAGCCAATGTAGGACCATTTAATAACAGACAACATTTCTGAAACTTATACAATTTTTTTTATCTTTTCAGGGCTTCGATCGGAATTGGGAAAATATCCTATTTACATCTGATGAACATTTGAAGTCGGAATACAAGCAGGCATTCGATTATATTTGGTCACGAATCGAATGAGAGGCAATTAAAACCAATGAGTCATTTCACTTGATTAAACCAAACCATTCATCCAAATGCAAGGGGGTACACACAAAAAATATTTGTTGTAGATCTGCGACGTCTAGTGATGAACATATAGTTTCTATATTGAATTCTACCACAGCTATTTTATGAAACGTCAAACCCTCATTATTGACTTGTATTGGTTTGACGTTTCATAAAATAGCTGTGGTAGAATTCACTTATACTTCGGTAAACTATATGTTCATCACTAGACGTCGCAGATCTTCAACAAATATTTTTTGTGTGTAGACATGATTCAAATGATTCGTTGTATTTCATTTGTGATTTGAATGATTTGAATCTATTTGACAAGTGACTTTAGAATACTAAAACAAAGCATAAAATTCTATATCAATATTTGTTTTTTTTTTAAGCAAGCAAAAACCTTTTTTTAATTAAAAAAATCAAGTATATTTCGTTTATAGTTAAAACACATTTCGAAAATATTAAATCTCTTTGTATTTTTATTCTTTAACTTGATATTTTTTTTAATATAACATGCATGCGATGGGAACTAGTATCGTATATTCCCCATACAAATTAATTTTATCGATTCTACGAATACGACATCTGTTAAAAAAGATACCAATTTTTGTTACTACTGTTGCTTTGACACAGCTCGAGCGAACTATACGGCTATGGCTGTATTACAGACGAACTAATACAAAAGAACACACAGACTCCGATCCTGTGTATGCGTATGTATTGTAAATTTTGCACAAGCAGCTACGATTGACGACTGAGTGCAGAATTTGTAATACATACGCATACACAGAATCGGAGTCAGTGTGTTCCTTTGTACGTTTACACGAGCTGTATTAAAACACCACTAGTAACAGAAATCGGCGAGTTTTTTAGTAGATGTCGTATTGGTGGAATCGATAGAGAAAAATCGACGATATAAGCGCTCATTGCATGCATGCAAACATCGATAGTCAACTGCACTGTAAAGTGTCACACGAACTGTCAAGCGGTGATTTGAAATGATTTGAAAAAATTCAAAATGATTTGAAATATTTCTAATTTACTCGCAATAATTTAAAGAGATTTATTTTTTTCGTATAGATTTGTTCTTTTGGATTGCGTGTTCACCCCTTAGTCCAAATGACAATCAAATGCACTTTTGATAGTTTTTAGAACATAATGATCAACGAGTTAATCCAGTTCCCTTAAGAATTTTAAGTTTGAAATGTTAATCTATTTCATTTCTTTAACGAAATACATTACAATTATTTTGAATAAAAAATTGAAAAAAGAAACAACTATGAATAGAATTTAACTGAATCCTCGTTGAAGGAGAAAAAGCAAATACATGCCGTAGTTAACAGTGTAAAATCCAAATTTTGAAGTCTTAAGCCCTCCCTCCAGTGGACATTTTTGGAATTAATTTTTTGAAGCTTTTTTGTAGCTCAATTGGAAAAGGAGAATATCCATTTGGATTTTGCGCCAATATTCATTTATTTTTTGCTTCAAAATGTGGAACGAGAAAATAAAATAAACATTGAAGAACATTGAGAGAATAACATTTGGAAGCAGCAGAATTTTTGTAAATATAAAACTTTTATTTTAATGGAATAGAATGGATGTATTTGTAAACAGTTTATAGCAATATAGATCTTATCAGTCAAAGAAAGATCATTGGCAACAAGCGAAAATTGAATTCCAAGTTAGAATTTCACAAAATCGCAACGTTCGAAATATATATATAAAATAATCCATTTTATTGACGTAATAACGAAATTTTAACGGATCATCCATTAATTCAATGGATCTTGAAATATGTATACGTATTAATATGAGAAAAACAACGATCTTTTCCGGAATTCTACTGTGAATGAATTAAGGTTTTATTCATAATCATAATTCTGAAATTATACAACCATTTTGAATTTTCATTAAAAATCCATTTAGTGAAATTTCTACAAAGAAAATAATTTCGATTTCATTTCCGGATAATTGAATAGAAATAATGATGATAATGATAGACATTTCTATAGAAATTATTTCCAAAGAAATCATTTCTCTAAACTCAGCAACCTTTTTCCGCAAAAATGACGAGAATCAAATAAGACAATACAAATAACTAATGAGACTTTAGTTTGAATTGAACGAATTCTATTTTGATTAAAATTATTCCTATAAGCGTATTGAAATAGCTGGAATTTATTTAATCCTCTTCAACACATTTAAAATATATGAATAATGATTATACTTTTTTTTTGAATAAAATTACATATTATGAAGATCACATGCCCCAATTTTTGCGAGAATTTTAATTGTAGGAGAAAAAGCAAATACATGCCGTAGTTAACAGTGTAAAAGCCAATGTCATTTTTTAAAAAGAAAATTCGAACAATTCCCAATTGCATTTCTGTAATATCTGAATTCTAAAATTAAGCATTATAGGTACTCGTTGAGCTGCTATAGCTTCGTGTACGCTTCGAATAAATGTGGTAAAATCAACCGAATTCGAATCAGTTGCAAAATAAACGACATTTGTGCAGCAAAAAATGCAATCGAATGCTACCTCAAAGTCAAACAGAAGGTAAAAGTTATAATGACCATAATTATTCTCTAAAAACAAAAATACGACAGAGTAAAAAAACAGTCGAAATTGTGAATAATTGTAGTTGTACTCGACGCTGAAAGAAGAAGAAGAAAAGTGGATGATCCTTACGTCGCAATAAAAAAAAAGAACTGTACCAACATTTGTAAGCAGCAAACGAAAAAATATACAGGGTGGCGCATATAATAGGCTCACTCTTAGGGGGTGAGAATTTTGAAAAACCCTTTGGGGGGTATGTTGGGGGTAAAAAATAGAAAATTTCTATCTGAGCAGAATTTATAATTTTTCCCCAGGGGGGATGGGGGTGTCCCAAATTTTCCAAAAGTGCATCGGATCAAAAAATAATGTACTACAAAGTTGTTCAGAATGACGAGAGAAATTTTTTAGGAGCCCTGCCCTCCAAGTCCCCC